TGTAAGTTTTGGTTAAACAAGAACAATTAACAGCTACGCGAACGAACCTTATATTGTGGTCTGAAAGGGGACTTTGATTTCGANTTGGTTAAACATGAACAATTAACAGCTACGCGAACGAACCTTATATTGTGGTCTGAAAGGGGACTTTGATTTCGAAATGCTTACACATTGAGAAGTTAGCTTACTGCCAATATAGAAGTATTACATATGTCCAAACCAAAGATCTACCACATTTTTTTGAAAACCAACACAATTTTTCCTGATTCTACCGCAGAGTGGTCTGATCACTGTTATCAACCCTGAACCGCATCGCAAATTATCAGCTGTGCCAGATAACATCTGATAACAGCTCTGACTTTTAACTTGGTTCGCGTTTGGCAGGCGTTTTGCAGTTTGTTGTAAACAATTTCATAGAAAATTATATTTTAACAAAAGGTTTCTTATTACCGTAATGTGATTATGAATTACAACAGTAAAAGGCCCGCGCGTCAAAACTCAACCAGCTTCAACGCGGCATCGGCAACAAATTCCGATGGCAATGGTGCCACAACACCCACATTGCTACTGCAACAGCAAGCACAGGCCGTTGCTTCGCCACATGCGCTTCAGCATCAGCTCTCCAACAGCAGCACCAGCAGCAATGCAGCCGGCATTGCTAGTGGACTTGCAGCTAGTGGTGTGGCCGACGATACGCCAGTCACCTTGCTGCCCGAAATTTCCGATATAATGCGGAGCTTTGGTGACTGCGATCAACCCCGTATGGAGAGTGTTAAATTAGTGGAGCATATTTTGCAGCAACAATTGCGTGGAATGTTCAACGAAGCTTCACTGGTTGCCATGCGGCGCAAAAATAGTCCTTGTCCAACGCAGGCAGACTTTGAATTTCTCATGCGTAACCATCCCGTTAAGATAGCACGCATGCGCAAGCATTTAAAGGATATGAAGATATTAAAGCGCTTCCTAAGTATACGTACTGGAAGACCACAGGATTTCATGGATGATGTAGATCAGCAGGAGTCTGAGGACGAACTGGGAATCGAAGTGCCGGAATTGTACGATGAAGAGCGTACACGTCGTCTATTTCGTGCCGATCGCATATCGCAAATACTCACTGGCCAGCAGTACTTGGAATTCAATGAGGCACGAAAGACCTCGTTCTATTGTCGCCATGGTGAAAAGATCAAAAATAAGTTTCGCCGATTTCTCGACTTACCGCCTGATCTGCGTATACCTACAACTACAATGAATATCTTAGCTTACTTCGCACATGAAACCATAGCCGTAATTGTGGACTATGCCATATTGACGCGTTTGAACTCTGAGAATCGCGTCACGGAGCCATACAGTCGGATTACTTCTACTGGCGCTTCGCCTGCAATGTTGCATATTTGTCCTGAAGTAACGCAGGGACGCGGCATGGAAGTGGTGCGACCCATAAGCGTCCAGGAAATTCACGAAGGGATGCGCCGTTTCCGGCAAATGACTAGCAAAAAAATTGGCTTCTATCGCAGCTCTTGTGACGCTGATTTTCGGCGCTCTTTTCTTGCCATTTAAAGTGGTGGCATCAAAGGAACCTACAGATTTAGCTTATAGATAGAAAGTAATGAACACATTAAATTGCATCATCATAGCATTATAAATGTTAAATAACAGAGTCTGACATGGAGTTTTTTTTATTTAGAAAGTAAGCATAACATTATTTTTATTAGGGATAAATTACAAGTTTATATTGTACTTATTAATAACTTCTCCTCAGCTCGCGGATGTTGGTGTGTGCATAAGTGAAGGATCGTCCATTGATTGTGCCTCGGCGAGTGACATCTGTGCAACGCGTACGGCATTTTGGTGCAGCTTCGTTTCAACATGCTGTTTCATGTGATGCTGCAGACGAAAGTCCTTACTGCAGTACTCACAGTGGTACAGCTTGATGTCGGCGTGTATAAGTTTGTGTTTACTGAGCGCATGGGCATATGCGAAAGCTTTATTGCACTCATCGCAAACGTATGGCTTGACGCCGTTATGCACACTATAAAGAATAGTAGTGAAAATTAAATATATTTTTGAACAATTACATGCAGATATCTCTTACGCTTCATGCGCCTTCTTCACACTTTCATAGAAAAATGTTCTACTACAGAATGAACACTTATATGGTTTGCCGCCAGTATGTAGAAACATATGTTTGCGCAGTTTCTCTCGCAGGTGAAATCGTTTATCACAGAGCCTGACAAAAGAAAAATAAAAATTATATTCATTGCAACCAAATCTTTTTCACAATTTATACTCGCAAGCGAAACGCAATTCTTTGTCATGCCGCCGTCTGTGCTCCATCATTCGTCCCCGCTTTGCATAGATATTCCCGCAAATATCACAAATGTGTGCTGCATTGACGTTAGACTTACGCGTTTGAGCCTTTTCTGGTTTCTCTTTGTTGTTGGGCTTAGCCTTTTTTGCAGCTTGCATTACATTCTCAACGGACTCACTTTTTGTAGCTGCTACTTTTTGTTTTTTACTGGGTACTTCATTAACATTGTCGTCATCTAAAACAACATTCACGTCATCATCATAAATGAATGAGTTATCTTTCTCTTCTAACTCTGGTGATGTCGCCTGCGATGTTTGCGTGCTAGTCGCTTCCATGTCATTATAGTAATCGGCTTCCTCCAAATATTCCGGTTTACACTCTTCGTTAGTTTCTTCGTCTTCATCTAATTGGACCTCCAATTGTTCATCTTCCATATCTATTTCTTCAATGTCAGACAATGATAACTCTAGCACTTCCACTTTCAATTCTCTATTATCCTGTAAATTTTCCTCATTTATATAAACCTCATCGTTAGAGTGATCACTGCCCCAATCTTCCAATTCTAATTTCACATCAGCTGATGTGGCTTTGTTTGTTTGCGCCTCTGCTTCTTTAGTTGGCCAAAGTTGTTTGCGTAAAGTTTCAAGGATTTGATGGGTGCGCAGCACTTTATTACGAAACTGATAGGCCATGCTGAGCGACAACTCACAGTTCTTGCAGATGCATTTTGGCAGTGTTTCATAGACATCAGCCTATTGTTAAGATGTTCATTTAATTTTAAAATAGGTTCAATAAATTTTTGTATGTCTTACCGCTTCCAGCTCAACTCCTGCAATCAGGCGCAACATCTCATTTGGTGGTTCTTCACCTTCGTCCAGTGGATTATATAGAGAACGTAGTTTAGGTGTACGCTTCAAGCACACCCGACAACTGTTGGCCACTACTTCATTCAACTTCATTTGCAGTATTTTCGTGCTTCCTCCCTGTTTTGTTTTTATGTTGTTGATCTTCCACTAATCCTAATTGTTTATACATAAATAAATATTGGAAACGGCTAATTTTTGTTTACACTTATCTGCTATTTTTTTATTGCATGCGCGTAAATTAAAAATGTTAATCAGCTGAGATTGACAACCGTAAACTGCATTGCCATATTTAACAATTTTTAGAAGCGTTGGTTTTTCAAATAACGTAAGCTTGGCAACCAAATTGTAAACAAAAGAAAAGTACACCGCGCTAATTCACGTTGAAAAGTATTAAGTTACTTGNTTCAAATAACGTAAGCTTGGCAACCAAATTGTAAACAAAAGAAAAGTACACTGCGCTAATTCACGTTGAAAAGTATTTAGTTACTTGTATAATATTACATTTACATTGAGCCGNATTATATAGAGAACGTAGTTTAGGTGTACGCTTCAAGCACACCCGACAACTGTTGGCCACTACTTCATTCAACTTCATTTGCAGTATTTTCGTGCTTCCTCCCTGTTTTGTTTTTATGTTGTTGATCTTCCACTAATCCTAATTGTTTATACATAAATAAATATTGGAAACGGCTAATTTTTGTTTACACTTATCTGCTATTTTTTTATTGCATGCGCGTAAATTAAAAATGTTAATCAGCTGAGATTGACAACCGTAAACTGCATTGCCATATTTAACAATTTTTAGAAGCGTTGGTTTTTCAAATAACGTAAGCTTGGCAACCAAATTGTAAACAAAAGAAAAGTACACCGCGCTAATTCACGTTGAAAAGTATTAAGTTACTTGTATAAGTGGATTCTAAAGAATTTGAAAGTATTTTTGGTTATTTATATGTGTCAGCTGAGCCTGTTTACCAACAAAATAAGCAAAAATTTACGACCAAAGTTTTGAGGTTATGTTGAATTTGACAGCAGTTACCATTTTTTATTAGAAAGCGATCCCGTACTTTTCAATGTAACTCTCTCGCTTTGAGCGAATTTTTATTTGTTGACAGTTTTACTAATTTTAATCTGAGGAATACGGGTTTGCACCTTTTATGTTTTCGCTGGCAAAGTTATAAATGTCAGGTGTTATGGCTGAGGGGGTAGCCGTAGCTTAATCGCGTCTTACGTTACAACGTNTCTCTCGCTTTGAGCGAATTTTTATTTGTTGACAGTTTTACTAATTTTAATCTAAGGAATACGGGTTTGCACCTTTTATGTTATTGCTGGCAAAGTTATAAATGTCAGGTGTTATGGTTGAGGGGGTAGCCGTAGCTTAATCGCGTCTTACGTTACAACGGGCTTAGGTATCGGCAGACGTAAAAGAAAAAGAAATAAAATAATATGCAAACGGGATACAATAACGGATCCTAGTTCTACAATGACATATCAAAATTAAAGTCTACACTTGTGGGTTGCCAACATCAGGCAAAACCACAAAGTTTTATCTGGCATCCGCTTANACATATCAAAATTAAAGTCTACACTTGTGGGTTGCCAACATCAGGCAAAAGCACAAAGTTTTATCTGGCATCCGCTTAAAGCGAAGCGCACATTAGCGCGATTCCATCGTTGCGAATACGTTGCGAATTCGGCTGTTAACTTCGAATCCGCAAACGTGCGCACACTTGAGCGATTTTTTCGCGTCGATTTCCGATGTACAATTCACTCAGTTTTCCCCNAGCGAATTTTTATTTGTTGACAGTTTTACTAATTTTAATCTAAGGAATACGGGTTTGCACCTTTTATGTTATTGCTGGCAAAGTTATAAATGTCAGGTGTTATGGTTGAGGGGGTAGCCGTAGCTTAATCGCGTCTTACGTTACAACGGGCTTAGGTATCGGCAGACGTAAAAGAAAAAGAAATAAAATAATATGCAAACGGGATACAATAACGGATCCTAGTTCTACAATGACATATCAAAATTAAAGTCTACACTTGTGGGTTGCCAACATCAGGCAAAACCACAAAGTTTTATCTGGCATCCGCTTAACTTTACTCCGTTATTAGAAAGATGTGTACAATCTCTACTATGAAAATTTGATGCAACATCGAAAATTGTATCTGAAGGCTTTCATGAACGAAAGACACAAGATCATGTAAGAACAAGAGAGTGAAAAAAGTCGATTTTTTGAGCGGGTTCTACGCCATCTTGTTTCACTGGAAAACGAGCGAAAAGTAAACAAAGCAAAGAGAACAACGAAAACCAAAATGAGCCAAAATCATTGTCAGGCACTTTAAACGCACAATTTAGGTAAAATGATGCAACAAAATGCTTTAAAATGTGCTGTCATGTGGAATTAACTCTTCTTTACTTGAATAAAAGTGTAAAATAGTGGTGCTTGTGATGTAAACAAACGCTCAGCTGACGAACCCGCTTTCGCAAACTTTTTTCTCAAAACCAGTTACAAATACAACGTCGCGTTCTTACGTGATCTTGTATTTTTGGTTCATGGAAGGCTTTCAACAGTTCCCCTCACTAAAGGGTGTTCGGAAAAATGACGGCATATTCAAAATAAAGAATAATGCAAGCGCAAAAAATTAAAACAGCAAATAGCAAAAATTTTGCGAAAGATTTTCAGTTCTTGTTATCCGTTGTAAATGTGTTTAGAAGTAATGTTTTTCGAAAATTAAAGTAAGGCCATCCGCTCACGACTCGTCTCGTCGTTGTATCGTCATTGGCTCGTCATGCATGCTGCATAAAACGTATATTTACGTTTATTGCAGCCAATCAACTTAATGTTTGTTATCGGTTTCTTAAATTATCGATAACCTTATTTATTACAGGACCACAATATTTCTGGTCATGTGGCAACTCGACGAAGGGGGAGCAAAACAGTGAAGAAAAAGTTTTCAACTGCAGCGTTTTTACAAATTATTGGCTTATTTTTCACCNTATATTTACGTTTATTGCAGCCAATCAACTTAATGTTTGTTATCGGTTTCTTAAATTATCGATAACCTTATTTATTACAGGACCACAATATTTCTGGTCATGTGGCAACTCGACGAAGGGGGAGCAAAACAGTGAAGAAAAAGTTTTCAACTGCAGACTGCAGCATTTTTACAAATTATTGGCTTATTTTTCACCTCAGTGGAATTTTCGTTACGTAGTTTGCGTTAAAAATCGATGGGATTAGTTTAATAATATAATTTTACCAACTATTAACATTATAATGGAACAGTGGCCCGAACCCAGTATGGAGAGATTACACATTTCGGGGCGCGACACTTTGCCGTCATCGCAAACAAAACAGCGGCAACAACAATTAACCCAATTAGTGCAACAACAAACGTATTCATCAATAATGGATTTTNCCCAGTATGGAGAGATTACACATTTCGGGGCGCGACACTTTGCCGTCATCCCAAACAAAACAGCGGCAACAACAATTAACCCAATTAGTGCAACAACAAACGTATTCATCAATAATGGATTTGCCCGATTTTGGCGATTGTGGGGATGACCAAAAATACGTAATATATAAGCATGATGATCTTTTCGGTGAAAGTTTCCCGCTAATGCGCGAAATACGTCGTCAGGGCAAACTCTGTGATGTTACTTTGAAGGTAAATATATAGAGCCACCCTGCTGGGGGGTGGTGCAAACCCCACCCTCAATTTAACTTTTATTTTAAACATTAGGTGGAAGATCAATCGTTTTCGGCTCATCGCATTGTGTTAGCTGGTACAATACCATATTTCTATGCCATGTTTACCAACAATATGGCCGAGAGTCGCATCAAAGAGATTACAATGAAGGAAATCGAACCAACCGCACTTGAGAGTCTCATCAACTATGCATACAGTGGCCAAGTACGCATCGATAATCAAAATGTTCAAAGTCTCATGGTGGGTGCGTCATTCCTGCAGCTGATCAAAGTACGCAATGCTTGTGCGGATTTCTTGATTTCACGTTTTCACCCGCAGAATGTGTTGGGCATACGCCATTTTGCCGATTCGATGGGTTGTACACATCTAATTGAAGCCGCTGATAAGTATATCGATCAGAACTTTGCCAAAGTTGTGCAATCAGATGAATTTTTGGGCTTAGATTTTGACGAGCTCATCGATTTAATAAGACGTGATGAATTAAATGTGCCAACAGAGGAAGTGATTTTTGAAGCTTCCATGAAATGGGTAAAACATATGGAAGATAAGCGTTCCGCATTGTTCCCACAAGTATTATCCAAGGTGCGTCTGCCACTGCTTTCACCGCAATTTTTGGCAGATCGTGTTGCACGCGAAGAGCTTATACGCTCATCGCATCAGTGCAGAGATTTGCTGGATGAAGCAAAAGATTTCCATCTAATGCCAGAAAGAAGAGGATTGTTACAAAGCTTCAGGTAATTGAATGAATATAATAATTAAGAAGTGCGGAAATTAAATGCTTTAAAACATAGAACGCGGCAACGTTGCGGAGAATTCATTATGGGGCAAATTTATGCCGTTGGAGGAATCGCTAGCAATGGGGAATCAGTAAGCACCGTAGAAATATACGATCCAGTGATTAAGAAATGGGAAATGGGCGAACAAATGTCAATGATGCGGTGCGTACTAATGATTTAACTTTTCAGATCAACAATTATTAACAAAAGTAAAATTTCTCTTCAAGGCAGACTGCTCTGTATACGCGTCTGTAGATTTTAAATATGATTTATTGNGCGAACAAATGTCAATGATGCGGTGCGTACTAATGATTTAACTTTTCAGAACAACAATTATTAACAAAAGTAAAATTTCTCTTCAAGGCAGACTGCTCTGTATACGCGTCTGTAGATTTTAAATATGATTTATTTTTCTCTTATATGATTTTAAACCATATGTACTTAAAACGGTAACGTGCGAATTTACTTACATGTATTTGCAGTTCTCGCGTTGGTGTCGCAGTGATGGATGGCAAACTTTACGCTTTTGGCGGTTTTAATGGTACTGAACGTCTCTCCACGGTGGAAGTATATGATCCGAAAAAGAATAAATGGACACAAGGACGTGCAATGTTGTGCAAGCGAAGGTAAGCGATCTATGCATTTAGAAATCATAATAAGAGTGCGCTGGACGAAATTTTTCTACGCTAGCGCCGTTGGTGTCGCTGCTTTAGATGATTGCATTTACGTATGTGGCGGTTATGAT